CCCTTTCCAGTTTTTCCACTTGTTGCTGTATCTCTGCCCTGGAACCTGGAGTGGTAAACCCCAGTTGGATCTTCTGTTAGTGTGTGGGTTGGAAAGAGGGAGTTGTTGAGAAATGAGGTGGAAACATCAGCTTTTGGGGCTTGCATTTCTGAAGGAACATCTTTCATCTTGGGCAGGCTTGACTTCAGAACATGCTTAAACTTTGCTTTTATGCTTCAGAAGGCCAAATTTATGCTGTATGAGCTACAGAACAGCAGCGAAGCTTGGTTTTATACTCAGGATTTAGTCTTTCCTTCCACCTGGACATGCAGAGTTATTGTCAGGAGTCTAAAGATGGAGCAGGGGAAGAGTTGGCTCTTACAAGATGGGAAGATAGAAGATCAATGCCTGCCTTTGGCTGTGAAATTCAGCCAAGGCTGGTTTCAGATCTGGATAGCGTGGTTCCGAAACGCATCCATGAGCATTAGAAGGGTTGAGGCAGTGGTGTTGGTTCCTCCTGAAGGAGGGTACAAAGCTCTGATGCTGGAAACATTTGTTTGCACATACCTTTCATCTCGCTTTGCATGGTCATCTCTGCTTTCAACGATCTCTCTGGTCGACATCTCCTCGATCGCTCATGCTTTCCTAGAGGTAAAGTTGTTAAGACGTGCAGTACTGCAACTGGTGGCACTGGGACCGCTGGTGGGGAGAGATTTTACAGCTGGGGACCTGAGGCACGGAAAGGGCCAACTTGCCTGAGATGAGCAAGTCCAACAGGGTGATGGAACTCCCACTTCCTAAACCCTCCCCAGGGATTGCAACCACGGGTAGGTGGCTGGGGTGGGAGTCTGACGCTCCGTTACTTCCCTCCGTGCCCAAGCTCCTTACAAAGCCTCGGTGTTTGTGCTTTTTTTGTGTGGATTTCAAACAAGAGAAGCTCCCAGAAAACCTTTGATCTCGCTGAAATGTTGACAGACCACATTCATAAACATCTGTGTGCAGGGAACGGTCACGTCTTCTGGAGGAAACCAGCCAGGATCCATCCTGCCGCTCTTAAACAGGCGGAAAGCCTCTCCCCACCGTTCACTTTTGGGTGTCTGACCATGGATAAACTTCACATATTTCCACATCTCAGGTAGAGCAACCCGAGGGCAGAGGTGTTGAAATAAGCTTATTTTTTTGGCTGAAGCTGTGAGGGCTTTGTGAGCTTCAGACTGGAAAACCTCCCCATCCTGTCTGTACTGGAGGTTGGGAAATCTGTGCTAACTCAAATTAAGGGAAAACCTTCATCCCTCCGGATACTTCTTGTCGTGAGGGAAGTGGCAGCTTTCCAGCCTGGCTTACCAAAGGAAGAGCTCTTAGCTGTAGTTGTCCAGACAGATTTATTTCAGCTAATTTGTAGAAATGTGAACTTTGCTGACTTTTTCTTCATTCTTTGATTTTTTTAAAGTGTGTTTTAGAGTCAAACTATAGAGAGGGCCAGATGTTGAAAGCCCTTTGAGGCTAGATTCTTTTTCCTACCTTTCATAAGCAACAAGTCCTAGGATTTTAATTTGCTTGGATGATTAAATTTATACGCCGTCCTCGGTGTGGTTCTGGGCTTGCTGAGTGCTTTGCTATGCAAAATGTTTTGAATATAATAACTGACCAGTTACAGCACTGGTCAGTGTATCACAAAAACTGTGGCTTAAGCTTAGAAAAAACTTGAGGTTTTAAGAGCTCTGACCATGAAACAGTGTGCAGGAAGACTAAAGTGATGCTCTGGAAGTCCCCACCTTTGGGATTTTGAGTTACTGCCCTCGATAAAATTCACAAACACTTGTGTCGAGCTGCTGCTTGGCCCAGTTGAGTCAGAAGAGGAAACGGTGCTTGGCCGTCCATGGGACAGAACCACCCTGTAGGTAGTGTGTAGCTCAGCTTGGTGACCATATCTCTAAAAGCTTAGAACATCTTCACCTCAGGGCAAAGCCCACAGCCTCATAAAGGCACTTTTTCCACAATTTCTGGAAGTGTGGTGTGACCACCTCCCAGAATTGGGAACCTGGTTCAGCGTTGTGCCTCTTACAGCAGGTTTCGCGTTCCCAAAGGACGGCCGGCCCGGTTTGTGAAGAACTTTTATCTCTTGTTTGCTCGAGCTTGGGGCAGGCAACAGTCTTCTGGCCAGCAAGAGGTGTAGCCTGCTCTGGGTTTGCTCAGGAATAACACGTGTCTGAATTCCACAGGGTCTCTGTGTTGCAAAACCTCCCGGAAAAACCAGCGCGGAGGAGCAAGCGAGTCCTGGTTGAGGATTAGTTCGGCGTGCGTAAGGGCTGCTGCTCCTGGGTCTGTTTGTCCAGGTGCACGACACCGAACGATTCACAGGAATTTTGTGGGTGATCAACCTGTGAAGTGTAGCCAGGTTGTTACTCAGTCTTGCTGTTTCAGCAGAGACCCAAGTAGCAGCTGAGAAATCCCAGAGGTGAGATGACTCCCCATGGAGACACCTGGATATCTGTGCTGCAGCTCCTGGAGCTGGATATAAGGAGGAAATTCTTCCCTCTGAGGGTGGTGAGGCACTGGACCAGGTTGCCCAGAGAAGCTGTGGCTGCCCCATCCCTGGAAGTGTTCCAGGCCAGGTTGGATGGGGCTTTGGGCAACCTGGTGTGGTGGAGGGTGTCCCTGCCCATGGCAGGGGGGTTGGAACTGGATGGTCTGTGAGGTCCCTTCCCACCCAAACCATTCCATGATTAACCCGTACTGTTGGGCAGGCCCATATTAAATGCCCCTTTGAGAACGCTGACTCTCCTCCAGGCTTCCAAATCTGGATTTGCAACCTTAATGTCATCTCACCTGCAGGTTCCATGTGAGCTGGCAAAGGAGGGATGAAAAGGAATGTCCTATAAGGAGAGGCTGAGGGCTTTGGGCTTGTCTGGTTTGGAGAACAGGAGGCTGAGGAGCAACCTCATCGCGCTCTGCAGCTTCTCGAGGAGGGGAAGAGGAAAGAGAGGTGCTGATCTCTTCTCCCTGGGATCAAGGGGTAGGACCAATGGGAATGGTACAAAACTACATCGAGGAGGTTCAGACTAGACATTAGGAAACGTTTCTCTGCTGAGAGGGTGGCCAAATGCTCCAAGAGGCTTCCTGTAGAGGTGGTGGGTGCCCCAAGCCCACCAGTGTTTAAGAGGCGTATCATATTTCCTGCTCTTCCTTGTGGAGAACAAGCTTCGTCTTCCTCCTGCAAGCCATAGCTACAGCTTTTTTTGGGAAGACGACCATGATTTTCTCCTCCAGCCTCCCCTGAATGACACAGCCACACAAGGCTGGCAGGTTGGTCTGGAGCTGGAGGCACCCTGCCAAGCTGTAGATGTTCTTCCTGTGGGACCGCAGGGAGGAGCAGCACTGACCCATTCCGTGTGGCACTCCAGGATGGCAGCTGACCAGCGTAAAGGTAGATGGTCCTGCTTCCAGTTGGATTTCTCATCTTTGAGGGTGCTGAGGCACTGGACCAGGTTGCCCAGAGAAGTTATGGCTGCCCCATCCCTGGAAGTGTTCAAGGCCAGGTTGGATGGGGCTTTGAGCCTGCAGAAATGGCTTGGGAATGTGGCTAGGGCTTCAAACTTCCCAGTCCCTGTGGTGCTTGCTGCTTAGCTGGATCAGCGGGCTGCTTTGGAAAAAAAAAATCCAGCTGTGTATCTCTGCAGGCGATGCAGCTCCTGCGTTTCATCACGAGTCAAAATGAGAAAACACTTTTTCGAGGGCTGGGAATGGATGTGACTATTCCCAGAATTCACTTTTCCCTGAATTAACTTAGACTTTGGCCCTGGTGGTGTAAGTGGAACAGGAAGAGGTCAGGCAATGAGTTCATCTGAGGTTTAATTTTTCCTCTTTGAGCCTCTGTTGTGGTGGTGCACATGAGGACGGAAGCCTGTGGAGGTATCTCAGCAGGTTGTTAGTGCAGATGGTTGTTGGGTTGCTTTCGTCCTCTCTAGGTGAGACGTGTTGGTGGCGTTTGAGGACCTGGTCTTGGTAATTCTGCACGTGTTTCTGCATCTGTTGGGTGTTGGCTTTGTCTAACGACAGGAGAGCCAGCTGACGCTGCGCTTTGTGCCACGGCAATGCATGCACAGAGGGGAACGTGACCAACCACCATGCTCTGGACATCTCAGACTAGTTCTGCCACCCAGCTGTGGGACCTTTCTGCAGGCAGCGAGATGTTTCAGGAGAAGATGGCAGAGCTCACGGATGGATGTGTCCGTGCGGGTTTCGTTCGGGGTGTGGCTGGTGTGAGGCTGAACCTCGTTGCTTGATGATTTGTCCTGCATGTGGATCTGCTTCCTGCACTTGAGCTGCCTCTTCCAGCATGAGTGAAAAATCCTTTTCTATCTGCCCTGCTGGACCAAACGTCCTCCAAACCTTTTGCCCTTTGCGGCAGAAGACAGTTCCTCGTAGTAAAGAAACTCCTTCTCCCCGTCACAAGAGGCAGTCAGGCCGCTCAACCGTAAGTCACCTGCGCATGGATGGAGCTGGTGGGGTGATGGGAGAGGACGCTGGAGGGCAAAGCCAGCCCTGCCTCAGATGGACCAAGTTCTCCTTCCTTACCATGAGAAGCATCTGGTCGTAGCTCACCCTGTGTAACAGGATCTTCTGCCAGGGCGTTTAGGTCTCCCACCTCTGGGCACTGCAGCTCCGCGCTCGCGTTCCTGAGCCTGCATCCACTCCAAAGGCAACGTCAGAGATGGATTTCATGGTGCTTTGGAACCCCTGGCCCCTGCCCCTTTTTGGGTGGGTGGAGAAGGGTCTTTTTGACCTTCCTGCTAAGAGCAGCTCGTGCTGCTCCGTGTCTTTCCAGAGCTGGAAGACCTGCTTTCCACGTGCCTCCTATTCCCCTCTCTTCACCTTAACGCCTCCGTGTTTCCCTCTTTTCATCTTCAGTGACTGCTGGGATCTCGGAAGCGACCGAGATTACAATTACAGGCAGGGTGTCCTTGAAAGAGCAGAAATTATTTCCTCTCTCCTTGCATTCCATTAGAAATGACAAAACGTGAAGGCCTGTTATTTTCTTTCCCTTTCCTGATTGGAATTTTATAGGTAAGGGCCTCCTTAAAAAAACAAAAAAAAAAAAACAAAAAACAAATCTCTGTTTTTTTGCTGTTAAAACAAACACTTTTGGAGCGGAATTGCTATAATTGCCCCCTCAGGATGCATTAAAGTAGGTTTTGAGAGGAATTAAAGGCTGGACTGGGGAAGGTGGGAGTATAGGAATGTCGGGATCT